GCAATGACCGGATATAACAACTCCGCTGGTCTATGCATGTTATTACCGTATCTTTGGCATTTATCACATTTAGCCACAAAATTTCCGCTTCTTCTTCCATTTTAGGCCAATAATAACCTGCCTTAATCATGGTTCTTACCAGTGATCTTCCTCCGGTGTGATTACCACAATGCCCCTCGTGTATTTCTCTCATTACATATTCCGTCTGAGAAGGCCCGAGGCATCTTGCTAAGGGACCACCGAGCATTTTTCGATAAAGATTGCCTTGCTTTAAACAATATCGAGCAGCCTTTTTTCGAAGCGCGTGAGCTTTTTTCTTGTCTTCAGGGACAGTACCATACTGCAAAAAAGCAACAATCTCGTTCCTCCAATCCCAGGTTAAGTTATTAAAATTTACCTCATTTTTGTCTGGATCGAGTACTGAATGAAACAAATGGATTACGGAAGCACTTTCATTGCTTGCCACGTCTGCCGTAGATGCGAGATTGGCTAGGGCATCTGCCTCGACATTTTCATCTCTTGGTATTTGCGTGACCTTCCAGGTCTGAAATTGCCTAATCAAATCCCGTACCTTCTCTAAATACTGTTGCATTCGTGTTTCCCTAGCTATATAAGTCCCCAGCATTTGGTTAACTATAAGCTGCGAATTGCTTTTGATTACAATTTGATTAATGTCGAGTTCTAGTGCCAGTTCTAAACCTGCAATCACAGTTTCATACTCTACCTCATTGTTAGTTATAGAATGACATTTAGTGGCTTGTCGAATGGTTTCACCCGTAGGTGGTACCAAAACAATTCCTATGCCTGCCCCTTTACATTAGATGAGACATCAGTAAACAAGGTCCAAATTCCTGGATTAGATCCGTTGAACACCTGTAATTCTTTTTCTGCTTCTAATTGCATTCCTTGGCTAAAATTAGCCACAAAATCTGCTAACACTTGAGATTTTATCGCGGTTCTAGGCTGGTATGTGATGTCATATTTGCTTAATTCTATAGCTCATTAGGCTAACCTACCTGACAACTCATGCTTGTGTAATATATTGCATAATGGATAAGCAGTTACTACGGCAATAGGGTGACATTGAAAATAAGGCCTTAGTTTTCTAGATGCCATGATTAGTGCAAGTGCAAGCTTTTCTAATTAAGAATACCGCATCTCCGCATCTAATAATGATTTGCCGACATAATAAATTGGAGATTGTTTACCTTGGTCTTCACGAACTAAAACAGCACTTACCGCTACCTCGGAGGCAGCAAGATAGATGAGCAATCTTTCCCCAACCATTGGTTTTGCGAGCAACGACAGATTTGACAGGTATGTCTTCAAGTGTTTGAGTGCTTGTTGACACTCCTCAGTCCATTCGAACTGATCTTGCTTTTTAAGAGCTGGAAAGAATTTAAAACACTTTTTTGATGATTTGGAAATAAATCTACCCAAGGCTGCAATTCTTCCTGTCAATCTCTGCACTTCTTTTTTACTTGTAAGTAGGTTAGGAATTTCTTCAATGGCTTTAATCTGCGCGGGATTTACTTCAATACCACGGTTAGAAACAAGAAAACCCAAAAACTTACCTAATGAAACGCCGAATGCACATTTCTCAGGATTTAGTTTCATATTGAATTTTCACAAGATCTGAAATGTGTCAGACAAGTGCGATATATGGTCCCCTGAATGTTGAGTTTTGACGAGCATATCATCTATGTACACCTCCATAGTTTTTCCTAAATGTTCTTGGAACATTTTGGTTACCAATCTTTGATACGTTGCACCAGCATTTTTGAGACCAAAAGGCATTACTTTATAATAGTAAGTCCCCCTTGTCTATTATAAATAAAGTTTTCTCTTCATCTAGGGGATCCATTTTGATCTGGTTGTACCCTGAATACGCATCTAAAAAGCTTAACAACTCATGTCCTGCAGTAGCATCAATTAGTTGATCTATATGATAATGGAAAAGAATCTTTAGGACAAGCTTTGTTAAGGTCTGTGTAATATACACAAACTCGCCATTTACTATTCTTTTTCGGTACTACAACAGTATTGGCTAATCAATTAGGATACTTTACCTCGCGGATAGACCTGATTTTTAATAATTTTTGGACCTCATCTTGAATCACCTGATTTTTGAAAGTCCATTGTTTTCTCTTTTTTTATTTGATAGGTGGATATAATGGGTCTTCATTTAACTTGTGAGTCATTACTTCCGGTGGTATTCCTGTCATATCAGAATAGGACCAAGCAAAACAATCCACGTTAGTTTTCAAAAATTCAATCAACTTACCTTTCATGTCATGGCTTAGGTTAGCCCCTACATAGACTTTCCTTTCAGGACATTGTGTAAATAACTCTACAGCCTCCAGTTCTTCAATCGTTGTTTTGATGTTTTCATTTTCTTCTGGTTCTTGAATGGAATCGGGTCTTGAGTCCATATCTGTTCGCCCTTTTTCAGTTGATACTCCTGGATGTCTGTTTATCCCCACGGATTTAACGTATTCCCCATGGTGATGGAAATTTAATAACTTTATGTAAGGTATACGGAACGACATCCATCTCATGGATCCATGGTCTCCCGAGAATCATATTGTAAGCCATCTCCATCTTTACCACCTGAAACTTTGTATCTTTGACAACCCCTTCTGCGAATGTAGTAAGTGTTATCTCCCCTTTCGTCACAATGTTGGAATTGTCGAATCCAGACAAAGTATGCGCCTTTGGTACTAGTTTTTCTTCAGCTTGCATCTCGTGCAGTACTCTTAGCAGAATAATGTTCACAGAACTCCCTGGATCAATCAAAACTTGTTTTACATTAGTATCATGTACAATTAGAGATATTACCAGTGCATCGTTATGTGGAGTTAACACGCCATCTGCATCTGCATCATCAAACACAATGCTTTCTTCCTCTAATACATGTCGCACCCATTTCCCATAGGTAACTGTGACTTTGGAAACTTTATTGGCTGCTGTGTACATTACACCATTGATTTCTGCGCCCCCACTTATAACATTAACGGTCCTTTTGGGAGAAGGAGGTTTAGGGGGCTCCTACCTGTTCTTCATGTATGCTTGCTTACCTTTCTCACTGAATAATTCAGTGAGATACCCTTGCTTTAATAGATGATCAACTTTGCCTTGTAGCAATCTGCAATCTACCATTTTATGACCATGATCGTTATGAAATTCGCACCAGTAATCAGGATTGCGCCTGTATGGATTTGATCTCATTTCTTTTGGCCAACGCACCTTATTGCCCATGCCTCTTAACACCGCTACCAATTCTGAAGTGCTGACATTGAAATTGTAACCGCCAAATCTTGCCTTCAAGTTCCTATCATCATCTCGAATTTCCCGTGAGTTTTGATCATTCCCAAATCTTGACGACGAACCCGACTCTCTATTTCCTGATCTATGATCGTACCTTGAATTATCCTGCTTTGATCGTGAGTCTTTTCTTGCTGGGCCCATATATGGTTCGTACCTATTTTTACCGGACCTTTTTTCATTTTCTGAACGTCTCAAACTCACCTTCTCCTCTTTCTGAGATCGGGAGATAGTGTCTTCTTCTATCCTCAGCTTAGTGCTGTATTTGTTGTAAATGTCATTCCAGATTGTTGCTGGAAATTCACGCAGACTTTTCTTGAGTAGTCTCGTGTCTTCTGAACTATTCTCATTCAAGTTACTGGCAAAAGCCATAGCTGCCGAATTATCTGGTACGCGTGGTAACATCATTCTTTCATGCTAAAACCTATCCACGAATTCCCTAAGCAACTCTGAATCTCCTTGCTTGATTTTGAAAATATCCTCTATTCTCTTTTCAACTTGTTGAGCTCCCGAATGTGCTTTGATAAAAGAATCTGCAAGCTCAGCAAAAGAATTTATAGAATTTTCGGGTAAAAGGGAATACCATGTTAATGCACCCTTGGTGAGTGTTTCACCAAATTTTTTGACCAACACTGATTCAATTTCTTGTTTGGTTAAATCGTTGCCCTTCACACCAGTTGTGAATGCAGTCACGTGGTCTCGTGGATCAGTCCTGCCATCATACTTTTGAATATCAGGCATTTTGAACTTCTTCGGGATTGGCACCGGAGCTGCACTAGGCTTCCATGGTTGTTGTGAGTACTTATCCATGTCTATTCCTTTGATTACGGGTGGTACTCTAGGTATTTGCTCTATACGGTCGCTTTGCTCCTTGAGCTATTTTTGCAAGGTTTGAACTAAACTTTGTAAATCAGAATTAACTATGTTACCTGGCTCGTCATCACGAGACTCGCTTGGAGTTCCACCAGTGCCTGAGTTAACGAGCCCAGAACATGGGTTTTCCAAAGTATTCTGATTCGGAGTTGGTGTTGGTGGTGCAATTGGCAATTGGCTGGTAAAAGCTCGGAGGGCATTGCTGACTTGTTGAGCAATGAGATTTTTAAGGCATCATCAAGTGCTTGTTCGTTTGCAACCCCATTATTTGTTTTAGAGCCATCTAGAGTTCTTTCTCGTGACTGACATTGTGAATCACGCGGTAAGGGAAATGGTGTCCTATCACCCGCATCATTCTCCTGATGTTGAGTATCTTGGTTGTTGTCGTTGTTATTCGACATGGTAAGTTTTGATGAAAGAATTGATTAAGAAAGTGAACGATTATCAGATTCCCGGTAACGAAATCAATTTGTTTAACCAAAAATAGTAATTTCGGTCAAAGCTTTATTTTAGAAGAACTCGGGTTACTGATAATCAATATATAAAATGAATAAAAGAAATTGGCTTTGATAATAATCAGATGAACAGAAGAAAACAAAGTAAATCAGTATATTTCGGTGATATTTCGTGTCCTTACAAATGATCAATCTTCTCCATGTGTCATGACGTGTCATCTTATAATGAATTCTATATATAAACTTAATTTTTCTCAATACACCTAGGAATGGCATAAGAGGACATGATGCTAAATATGCTCAACCTTATATATAACTAAGCTTTTCGATATGAAGGTAATGATAAGTTCAAAGATCTGCGGGTGGTATATCAATCCAATTAAGGCCACCAACATGAACAATCATCTGAAACAAATTAGGCATCCCCTCACACAAATTAGGCATTCCTTGAAACTTTAGCATCTTAAAGACACCATTTTGAGGATCATATGAAATCAAACTGCCACATCTATAATCCAGCAAGAGCTCTCCATTCTTCAACTGGCATAGAACTTTCACCAATGTTGCGTGACAGAATTTGGAGTTGACGTATAAGCTCCAATTACGAACTCCTTCACCCAAGACTTTTTCACATTGTATTCCCTCATAACCCAAATTTCGGTTCCTCCACGATCTTGGTGAGGGAAATTTATAGCAACAGCAAGACGACCTCGAAGAACTGCAAGATGAAACTTGCCCTTTCTTAGGTCGACGTTAAAATCAACCTTTGGTACTTCACCAAATACCTCGTCAGCTAAATCAAAGGAAACGATGAGCCTGTCATAATGTCCATAATAGCTTCCTAATCGAGTCAACCAATGCATCTTTCCATGTAACACGTATCCTTGTGAGCTAAATGGATTAATCTGGTAACCAGCTTCCCCATTACTTCTCCAACTATTGCCACCAAGAGTAAATACTTGAACATCTGAAGTACGAATTGGAAAGAGCCAAGGATCATCATGATACAAACTGGGATAATATGCGATCTTGATCACCTTGTGTCACGACCCAAATCCCGGTCGTGATGACGCCCAGCACACTACTAGGCAAGCCCGACCATTATTCAACACTTAACCCAATTTATCAAAAATAGCGGAAAGAAATATCAATTAAGCAAGATTAAAGTACTGAAGAATTTAACAAAATACACAATATAATCTCACTAGGACCCGGTGTCACGAATCTGAGCCTCTAGAATACAGAATATCATCCTAATACATGGTATATCCAAAGTCTGATAATGCGAAAATAAAGAGATAGGATAGGAGGGAGAAGAACAATGGTTGCGAACGCCGTGCAGCTACCTCGATACTCCCAGAAGCTGGATCTGCTGATCAACTGGATCTACTGAGCCTGAGACTGCCCTGGATCTGCACACAAGGTGCAGAGAGTAAAGTGAGTACTCCGACCCGGTGAGTAATAAAAGTAACTACAGTCTGAAGATAAGAAAATCCAGCAAATACACAAAGTAAGCTAAAATCCAAATATACAACAACATATGGAACTGAGCAGCTAAACAACAGTATAAATAGAAATACATGAATGCAATGCAATACATATGATGGTACATTCCAGTACCCACTGCGGCGTGCATCCCGAGCCATCCATATTTATTTATCGTCGACGGTGCTCACTGGGGGTGTGTACAGACTCCAGAGGGCCTCCTACAGCCCAAGCGCAATATCTTGGTCAGTCATTGTTACCTGACCGGTTAGCAATTGTTACCTGACCAATTTATATCATACAGTGCCATTGTTACCACTGTTCAAGTATATCATCCAGTGTCATTGTTACCACTATTTCAAGTATATCACACAGTGTCATTGTTACCACT